TTTCTGATGGGGGCATAGAATTCCATTGTGTATATATACCACATTTTCTTGATCCATTCATCTACTGAGGGGCATCTGGGTTGGTTCCATATCAGCTATGGTAAATAATGCTGCAATAAACATAGTTGTGTTGGTAGCTTTAGTATAGTCTTGTTTGTGATCATTTGGGTAAATGCCCAGAAGTGGGATTACTGGAATTCCAAAGAATTCTTTATTTTCCATGGACATCATTGAACATAGGCATTTATTGAGTACATTTGTTATTTCATTTTATTTTCAATGACTCTACAGTATTCATATCTCAGAAGTCCCATTTCAAAGTTTAATGTATTACTCTTTTCCATTTCAAATGGGTCATTGGGAAAAAGTATGGTTTTTCTCCACAATGAAACATTTGGAATCAGCACCATAGAGCACAAATCGAAAACTTTCAAATGGTGGAAGGAAGAATGTGAATATAGTCTTTTGCTTTATTAGTTTCAGGAAATAAGAAGAAAATACCTGAATTTGTGACAATACTGTAAGAGGCTGTGTCTGTCACTCTCTAAACTAGCTTAAATAGGATAGGAGGTGGTTTAAGAACCAATATACCCCCATTGCAACATAAGTACAAGTCCGTTATGTCGAAAACGAACTTTACAACTTTGGTATGGGGGGGCCTGGGGGAGGATGGGAAGGGATGAGAAGGGGAAACAAAGGAGGAGGCTACAATGCTTGATAAGAAATGTACTCATTATCTTGCTCATGTAATTGTAACCCCTCTGTACAGTATTTTCACAATAAAAAAATAAAAATTATAAAAAGAACCAATATACCAAATATTTAAACACTCAAAGGATTAATATTTCTAAATGTATTTAATCCATACAATTCAAGGCCATTTGAGGGTTTTACTCAACTGATTTAAAAGTATTGGAGAGAGGAAAGGAAAAATGACAGGAAGCTTTGATGAACCCTTGATTTTTGAAAGTATCACTTTAAAAAGTAAAAAACAAAAGCAAAAACAAGACTTCCACTTAGATATAGACACACATCAGAGATGTATCTATTTATGCGGGAATCTGTAAATAGGTGAATTTGGTTCCAAGAATATTTTAAGAATCTTAATATTTAGAGACTTTTGCCAAGAGAGTTAGTTTGATTAGCTGTAAGTTGATTGTTTGGTTTGATATAAAATTGGCAAACATCCTGTAGAGCAATAAAACTATAAACATTAAGGTGTTTTATTTTTCTTATGGGCAGAATGAATAAATTGGGCAAATTAGCTTGCAATGTCAGCATGGTAGCGAGATCTAATCAGTAGTTAAACACAAGTACAGTTCTGCTAAAGAATGAACAAATCCTGGGGTTGACCTGTGAAAGCCAGTGTACACACACACAGGTGATGCTCCTCCTTTTAGTTTGTAAATTTTGTAATTGTTAAAAAAAAACGGTAAAACACGAGGCCTTGGGAGGGGGCAGGATTTATAACTCAACATTTGGTTTATATAATTAGGACTATAAACCACATTCACAGCAGCTTCCTTCCAGTCAAGGAGCATGAAAATGGGGGATGGGAAATCTTGCAAAATTCAAATAAGCATCTTTTACAGATGACTGTTCATTGTATCTCAAGGGCAGGAAAGGTGAACAATGGAAAGAGAGCGGGACAAATAAAGGAAATGGGGGCTGATCCCCTTCCCATCCACCAACAGGGCTGCTTTTATCCTACGGGAAGGTGTTCGTGAGTTCAACCACACCGTCCTTTGTAGAAGGTGCTGTTGAGCAGAGCTTAGAAGAGCTGCAGCTAGTGCCCAGAATACATTCTCTCCCCTCGCCCTGTGTGGGCTCATTCACAGCTCTGTGGTCCAGGGTTGGGCACTTCCTTCTCTGGGACTGAAATAACAAAAGTGCAGACAGATCTGGAGGGATGCAGCCAGCGCATCTTCCAAGGCACTCTTCTTATTTTTATTTTTTGGAATGGGGGTGGAGGGAGGGGTTAGAACTAGGCGTTAAAACAACAACACACAATAAAAAGAAAAAAACAACCACAAGCCCAGTCTCTCTTCTTCTCCTTCCCTCCCAGCCTTTATCTGCAAGTGGGATGCATCTCTGCAAAACCTCCAACCCTGGGCGGTGGGGGTGGGGGATGGGGAGATAGCTATGTCAAATCCTTCGGAGACGTCTGCAAGAAAGCAGGTCTCCGGGGTATTTTCAGCACCTAGGCAGGAACCAGGAGGACTTGCATGCTGGCACCACCAACTGACGGATTCAACGCGTGATCAGGGGGTGTGTGTGGGCTGCTGGTGAGGGGTGTGGGGGGGTGGTGGAGGGGGTCCCTGCAGGAACTCTCCAGGTGCTCCTCCGGCTGCATCCCCCGGAGCTTGGGCCGCTGCAGCCGCCGCCGCCGCCGCCGCTGCCGCGCCCCGCCCCGCCGGGTCCCCGCAGCCTCGCGGGCTGCTGGGCTTTGTGGTTCGCCCGTGCGGCTGGGCCCCTGCTGGGGGTGTCGTTACGAGCATGTGCAGACAGCAGCCCAAGGTAGAGCGAGCGTGCCAGGCCAGCCCTGGGACTTGCCTTGCAATGCCATGTTTGTGTGTGTGCTCTAACTCCCGGAGAGCAATCAGGGAGACGGCTCCCGGGCCAGACTTGGCTGATGTTTTCTTGTTTCTGTTTCAGCCTTCAGGATAATTCCTTCAGCAGCACCGCTGTAACAGAGTAAGTGATTCTTGCCATTACAATTAGACTTGCATGCTTTTATTCCGGCCTCCTGCCCCCACCCCCCTCTACCCCCGTGGAAGTAACTATCATGCAGGTAGCCACCGTCCCCAGCCCCTGTGTGGATGGCACGCATTGCCTTTTGTACCCTGGGGATTCCACGCACGCTGATTGTGGTAGCCCAGAAATCTTTACAGGTTGCAATCTGCATTTTAGCAACAGCAGGAGAGATATTAATACCAGCTGATGGTTTGCAGACGCTCACTGCTCTGAGATGTGTGTTCTTGAAGCTCTTTTTATTTTTAATTTTTCCTTGTCTTTTGACATGTCTGGAAGGGAGCTCGGTTGTCTTTGGCCAACATTAGTGTCAGTTTTCATGCATTGCACGCCCTATACATCTACTGCAAATACCAGATCGATGGGAAATGACTTGAGTTTAATTCCAGCGTGTGATAAACAAGATTAACTTACCCTTGCTTGCTCTCTGGGTTTACAGATTTTAAGTCACAGAGGAGTAAACTTTTCTTGCTTGGCCTTTGTCATTTTTGTCTTCTGACCTCAAAGAACTGTTTCTAGCAGGAATGAGTCATCTGGTTCTGTGGTTAAAGCTGTGGATGAGGGTGATACCATTACAACATTGTATAAGGAAGTGTGATGGTTTAACTTCAGGCCAGAGGTGTAGTAATTTTTATTAGCGATTTATAGTTTTATCTAGACATTTATACTTCATTGTTTAGATTGTTATACTTTTCTGGCTACATTTTTCTAATGGTGTACTGTACATTGGATAGCACATTTTACTAATACTATATGTGATTTGTATGTATAGGTATAGCCTATACATTTCAACTAGTAGTATTTCTCTAGGCAAATGAATGTACAGTGTTTACTTCTGGGATCTTTTGATAGAAGTCACTCTGGAAAGCTTTTCAGGAAAAAAAGGTGTGTGTAAAGTTGTTTATTACTCAATTACACTTAGAAGCATGTTACAGAAACCCCAACTAACTTAGGAGCAGTTTGCTAAAGTTCCCTAAAACATGCAATTAAATATAGAAATTAATATCACTTGAGTTTCAGGCCTTGCCACTCCATAATTCCCTAAGTGTCAGAGAAGCAAGTGTGTTTAGTTCTTCCTAGACTCTGTTTCTCTTGTTTCTGTGTTTGGATTGCTGTCTTAGTGCTTAGTTTTAAGTTCATTGAAGTTACTTAAAAAAAAACCAAGCCAAACCAACCAAACAAACAAAAAAAACCCAACCAGGTTCGACTTTAGAAAATGCAATATAAATACTAGTTGGGACCCACATCCTGCCAATGAGATTGCTTAGTAATCCAAAGCTGCAACTTTGCTTTACTGAAAGCCGGAGAAGAAGAGAAATATGTGTCAACATCTATTGGCTAAACAGCCCTGGACTTCCTGGTTCAGGTGCCCAGGTTACACATGATCTCTTTCCTTCTGTGTTTCTGAGCACCAAGTATTTTCTGGGAGGGATTCTTGGGAGCCTTATGTGGCTGAATCCCCAGAATCAACCATGAGCTTAGTAGCTACAAAATGGAGATATTTAGGTCTAGATTTCATCTGGATTACACACATACACACATATGTATGGATACATATCAATGTATCCGTACATTGATATGTAAAGGTTTCTGGTATAATGTTGGGAGAGAATGTGGTGCCTTGTCTTTGGAAACTCCCCAGGGAATTCTGATTTCATAAGATCATGTTGTTACTTTCAGAGAAGTGACAGTGGTTTATTTTAAAAAGCCTCTGAGTGATAATTGGTATGCCATCTGGCTAATATAGGAATCTAAGAAGCATGTTGGAAACATACCAAAAACCTCATAGGTGTAAGACAGCACAGACTAGGGTCAATTAGAAGAAGTCATTGTTGAACATAACATTTTCCCCTTCCCTCAATAACATAAACCATATCCCTTGGTTCTCTGGGAATGACTCCTTAGCCAACAGGTCTGTGGAACACTATTCTGACATGGAGACATAGAAGGTGTTCAGTAAATGTTTGCAGGCCAATGCTTAGACATGCATTGAGGAGGTACTTTCCCTTCTGAGATATCCTACAGACAAGAAAAACTCCTCTCCCCCATCCCTATCACATTTTTGTTTTCTTCCACCCATACCCACTGAAATTCCAACTAGAGATAATTTCTTTTGGATTAAGGCTTTTGGTAGTAACCCACATTGAAATGGAAATTTAAGAGTCATTGTCCCTAGCTGGGCACCAGTGACTAACACTTGTAATCCAAACTTCTCAAGAGTCTGAGATCTGAGGACTGAGGTTCTAAGATAGTCCAGGGAGAGAGAGAGCAGATACTTGAGACTCTTATCTCCAAGTAACCAGAAAAGAAAGCCAGAAGTAGAAGCCTGGCTCAGGTGATGGAATGTCAGCCATGAGCAAAAAGCCAAGTGAGAGCTTAAGGCACTGAATTCAAGCTCCAGTCTGGCACAAGTATGCAGGGTGTGTGTGTGTGTGTGTGTGTGTGTGTGTGTGTGTGTGTGTGTGTATGTGTATGTGTATGTGTGTGTGAATATGTCTGTGTCCCTGGAAAGTATGTTCAAGTTGTAATTAATACTTTATCATAAATACTATAATCCGCCAGGCTTCCATTTGTCCAATTGATTGGTCTTTCAAGAGTTAAATGAAAGTGAATTCAGGGACTCAAGAACAGATTTTATTTTCTGCTTGATTTTCCCCAGGCCCAGAGGTACTTCTAGACCAGTTCAATCTTTTTTCCTACTCATATTATTTCAATGTGGCCTTTTTTTTTCTGTCTCAGTAGCATTTAAAAAAAAATCTCTTGTTTTCCCACAGTCATTTCCTATGTTGCCTTGTTAATTTGTTCTTTAAAATGGCACTTACAAAAATTATGACTACTTCCAAACTATTAGTTCCTAAAGCAAGTGGTCACCACTACCAACTGAGGAAGGAGACTGGAGCTGGTAGAAATCACAACTCCCTGACTTTCTCCTAGAGTAACTGTGGTAGAGCCATCAGGAACAGGTGATTATGTTGGATTCAGCCCAGAGATGGTCTGTGTTTTGGAAACATTTAGCTTTAAACTCTTTAGAAACTTAATAGTTATATGGTTGGCTGTCTGGTTTAAAAATTTACATTCCTGGTTTGGGCATGGTGGATCATGCTTATAATCCCAGCTACTTGGAAGGCAGAGACAGGAAGATTGAAGTCTGATGCCAGCTCAGTCATCAAAGTTACTGGGACCCTATATAAAGAACAAGGTCCTTTCCCCATGGTATAACCCCTGTTTTCACTGTGTTTGATTCCAGTGCCCTGCATCTTGTATATACATTTTTTCTAATTTGGGGAGAGGAAGTGAAATAACAAAATGCTGAAACAAGGATACAGGTTGACCCATTGTAACAATGAGATGTACAAGACACTATGTTGAAAATGAACTTTACAACTTGTGGGGGAGGGGGGGCTGGGGAGGTGAGGAGGGAAGGGATGGTAGGGGAAAAACTAAGGAGGGGGTAACAATGCTCAATAGGAAATGTAATCACTACCTTACTCATGTAACTGTAACCTCTTTGTATTGTATCTTTACAATAAAAAATATATATAAAAAAACAAGGCTATATGTGGTGGCCATCTACCTGTAATTCTTGCTACTTGGCTACTTGGGAACTAGAAGTAGGGGTTTTCACTCTAAGGCTGGCTCTGGGTGAAAATTTGAGACTATTGTGGAATGACTTGAAATGGAAATGCTATGGGCATAAGTGGTAGAGTGCTTGCCTATCAAGCTGGGGACCCTGAGTTCAAACCTCAGTATTACCTTATTTAAAAAAAATCACATTACTAGGCCCTGTCCTTAGAGAATTGGTGTAGGGCTAAAGTAGAGGTGCAGCTGGTGTCTGCTCATTTTAATCAGGTAATCCAGGATGGTAGTAGTTCTAGGCCCACACACTGAAAAACCCCACAGGAATCTACCTTTGCAACTTTGCCTTCAGGGGAGATGGAACTACAGGAGCAGAAATCCCTTTTAGCAATCTGCATATGATCTGCCAGCCAGTCTGAGACCTCCCTTTCCTATTTAGTTAAAAGGAAAACTTCTAATAGACACTTCTTTTGCTACCAGTATTTGGCAGCATGTTGGTCTTCTACTCCCTGGGAATACAGACCAAAGCTGAGTGGAGCAGAAACAACCCAGACTCTCCCACTTCAGGTCCTGGACTCCTGGACAATAACAGCTTCTAGGTGATGCTAATTCCTACTCTCAGTACTGGAAAGGCTGACTTGAGAAGATAGAACCAGACGATAGAACCAGAAGATAAATTGTGTTATGGCCAATAGAGAGACCAATTTAGATAGCTGAATCTGGGATCTTGGAATTGTGTTTCTCTAAGTGGCTGCTGGAGTTGTCAGAAGATATTTCAATTGGATCTGTGAATCTAGTCCAGTCTTATGCTTCAGAAAACATTGGTAACTTTGTATGTTTCATTTAAAAAAATTTCATTATGATTGTACAATGGAGCTATCATTCAATACATCAGTATTATAAATGTAATACATCTCCATCAATGAGTTTCCACTGATCGTATTTTGAGGAGAAAGATTAATAAATCAAATCAGGGGGCGGGAAAGAAATAAGTTCTTGCCAAATTCCCAAACAATTGGCATGGTTGGGCTCTAGGGTTGAATCCTAGGTACAGATTGAGCCCTAGTTCCTTGGAAGCAAAATTCTGTCTCTTCTTCCTTTCTTTTCCCCTTCATTTCCCCTTCCTTTTCTTCCTTTTCCTTTTCCTTCCCTTCCCTTTTCTTCTATTACCTTTCCTTTTCTTCCTTTCCCTTCCCTTCCCTTCTCTTCCTTTCTTTCCCTTCCCTTCCTGCCAGTCTGCCTGCCTGCTTCCCTGCCTCCTTCTTTCTTTCTCTTTCCTTCTCTCATTTTTCTCTCTTCATCTTCCTTCCTTCCTCTTTCTTTCTTTCTTTCTTTCTTTCTTTCTTTCTTTCTTTCTTTCTTTCTTTCTTCTTTCCCTTTGTAGTACTAGGAATTAAAGTCAGGGCCTCACTCTTGTTAAGGTATCCACTCTATTACTTGAGCCATGTTCCAGTCTTGGATTTCTATTCTTTGCTATTAGAAAATATTATTATTATTCATGCTATAAAAGCCCAGATGCTCTGTTAGATGAATGCCACTGCTGGAATAGAATGCTGTACTTGTGAATTTATTTGTTTTTCCTGAGATGGACAGAGCGAGTATTTGACAAAGACATGAAGCAGTAAGGACATTTGGATTATTCAGTTAAAATAATTTTTTAAGTTAAGTATTTTTTTTCTTGCAACAAGGAACAAAATATTTCAGCAGATAAAAGGGGTTAGAGTCTGTAGGTGGGCTTTGTTTAACTCACTACATAAGCCATAATTTAAAAAGAGCTTCTTAGGGGAAAAGAAATAGAGCTATCATCAATTCACTTGTGGGTTAATTATACATCATTGCCGGTACAGAATATTTTTTTAAAAAATTAAGTTACTTAATGTAGTGAAAGAATTGTATTTAACAGGCTGGGGCTTAAATTCAGGGCCTCACATTCTTCTTGGCTTGTGCTTTACTGCTTGAGCCATGCCTCCAGTCTGACTTTGTGCTGATTAATTTGCGATGGAGTCAGAAGGACTTTTCTGCCCAGAGGGCTTTAAACCTCTATTCTTTGTATCTCCACCTCATGAGTAGTTAGGATTACAGGCTTGAGCCACTGAATTTTGTGTTAAATTTTGTGCCCTTTATAAGTGGTGCATCTCAAAGCATAAGCATCTAAATTGTTTGTAGCTTATCTAAATCCAGAAAAAAACAGAAATAAGGAAGAAGCATTTAATAACTTTAGTAAGACTTGACATTTCTGGGACACCTTTAAGTATTTGTCCATAGTGAATTGGAAATTAAAAAACAAAACAAACCAAGTTCTAGTCTCTAACCCTAGACAGTCTTGAAAGCACAGTTCCAACATTATAACTGGCATATGCTGAATGCTAAGTAATTATGAAATTATTTCAGGGACAACTGCGGAGGAAACACTAAATTTCAATTCAACTATATATTTTTAAGTATCAACCTGAAGTAGTACTACATATCAACTGAAGAGTACTACATCGGTATCTCCGGAAAAATAAATTAGTGTGATAACCATGTTTATAGTTATTTCTTCACATAAATCACATAATTAAAAAAACCTGTAAGGAACTAAGGACTACATAGCAATAGGAGGCATGATTCACTGGTTGCTTAACCCTCAGAATGAACAGCAAGCATTTATGCATTAATGTTGAAGCAAGATCACAAAATTGATTTCCCTTATTTGTAATAACTAGTATATGTCTAGGACAAGCAGAAAAGGTCAAAAGCTATGTACATAGGACCAGATAAGATGATGCTATGTGAAATGAACACCAAGATAGGGACATGAGAGGTTTTATCTTTCTTGCTGTAGTTTTTAATGTACTTATAATGTACTATATGATTTTTTTGTTTCTTTTGCATGTTCTTCCCCCATGGTATAACCCATTTTCACTGTATTTGATTCCGGTGCCCTGCATCGTATATATATATATATATATACACACACACACATATATATATATGTATATATATATACATATATATGTATATATGTATATATATGTATATATTTCTGATTTGAAGAGGGAAAGGGAAATAACAAAATGCTGAAATAAGGATACAGGTTGACCCATGTAATAATGAGATGTACAGGACACTAGGTTGAAAACAAACTTTACAACTTGGGGTGGGGTGGGGGAGGGAAGAGTTGGGGAGGTAGGAAGGGAAGGGATGGTAGGGGAAAAACAAAGGAGAGGATAACAATACTCCATAGGATATTATTCATTAACTTAGTCACTTAACTGTAACTCCTCTGTACAGTATCTGTACAATAAAAAATATATATTAAAAAAAATCACAGCATTATCTATGCACCTGACTGGGAAGTTTTCTGGAGCTGGTGAAAACCTAACCTGAGCAGTGAAAGATGATTAGGAACTGAAGACAGAAAGCATTCCAGACTGGGATGGGGCAGGGTAGGAATAGCTGAGAACAAAAACCAAGTCTAGAGTAAGAAAACTGTTCCACTCCAGACTTCCCTGGGCAAGGTAATGCGCTGACTTTATAACTTGGGGGTGGGGGGAGGGAAAGAAGTGGGGGAGAAGGAAAAGTGGGAGAAAATGAGGGAGGGTAACAATGTTTGACAAGGAATGTGCTCATTACCTTACTTACGTAACTGTAACTCTGCTGTACATTACATTTCAGTAAAAGTTTTTAAAAAAAGATTGTTCAATATCGAAGAACCAAGACTTTGTCATAAAGTTAATTCTGAAGATTTATGAAAAGGAACTGTATTGTTTCCCTAAGATCAAGGAAGTCCAAGGCCAACGGGATAAACTTTGGGACTATATAATGAGAACATAAAAGAGTTATTTTTGCAAATGTGGAATCTTTTGCAAGGTAGAATCATTTGAACCAAAACAATCCACTCTTTTTGGTGCCGAATAACCATATGCTAAGACTACCTGGATCCTGGGTGAGATCTTGTTAGCTTAGGTGGCGGCTCTAGTACGGTGATGTGGGAAAGAAGAGTCATATTTGGCTCTCACCTTTTAAATTTACTGCTATGACAATCTTGGTGCTGTTATCTGGTTAGGAATCAGGGCTGGTCTGGAGAATGGTGAGAAGGGTTACCTTTTTTATAATGTACCATGCTAGTCTTGAGATAATTCTGGATCATTGCTAATATAAGTGGATCTGACATGCTTTTTCTTCCACTTCTCCCCAGGTGTGACGAAGACACAGTCTCTCTACATGAAGCTCAGACTGATTGCTCTAGTCTCAGGTATGATCCACCATTTCTTGGTTTTTGTTTGAAAGAGGTAGCAACCATCTGTGTCTGGTGTCTCTTCTTTGAATTCTAATTATTTGTTTTCATGTCTCATCGCCTCTACTTGACTTGCTGCCTACGTTTTGTCTCACACATTTTTGGATTCCACCAATCCACTTATACCCCCAGGACAGTGTGTGATATATGGGAAATTCTCAATAAATTCCTATTTGGTTGAACAATGTTTCTATGGAAAAATGCTGCATTTTTTGCCAAACATGTTAGTGGGCATCTGGGGTGTTATCCTGGCCACTGAGAGGCTCTTCACAGTCCCAAGTTCATCCATGTGCATTTTATTATTTAATCTAAGCAACTGAAAAGGAATTGATTGTTTTCCTTCTCACCTTGTAAATAAGCAAACCGAGGCTCAGCGGGCATTATAGCTCATCCATTATACCTAGATAAAGTAGACTTTGCATCCAGGTCTTAGCGACTCTGCAGTTCAGATAACAAATATTTTTGAAGACCTCTTTGATGTGTCCAAATCAGGCAAGAGAAAGTCAATCTAATCCTGCTCCTGGAAACCCATCTATAAAAGATGGGAGGTAGTAGAAAGTAAACAGATGATCCAAGCTGCAAAGAGAGGGTGAAATGTGTGTATGTGTGCGTTCTTGTGTGTGTGTGTGTGTGTGTGTGTGTGTGTGTGTGTGTGTCTGCAAGGTTAAAAATAGTAAAAGCAGTAGGAGCAGCTTACTGGAAAGCCAACAGAAGGTAGAACAAATGGTCTGAGCTGAAGGAACAACAGCTAGGCAGGAAGACAAGGGGTGATAAGAAATAAAAGGACTCTCTAGAGATTAACAAGGACTAGATTTTTATTGGTTTTGTGTATCTTGCTAAGTAGTTTGGAATTTATCCTGGAGGTATTGAGGAAACTAAAAAGAACCCTTAGATATTATTCTTTGCAAATAACCACTTGGCAAAGGCCCTGCCTGAGAGAGACAATAGCTTTCATTTACTGGGTTGTGGCCACCAGCCAGCTTTGTATGGAAGGCATCTCACGGACTGTTTTCTCTCTGAGAGGCAGAAATGATCCATTTTACAGATGAGGATCATAGAGGCAAAATGATGAGATGTAGCCCAGGCCACTAAGTCATATGTAGAAGCTTCTTTTGAACTCTTGATGTATTCAGTCATGCTGTATACAGCTTTCTCCATGCGTTTTCAGTTATGACTTATTCTAGCAAGTAGCAACATAAATTACCTAACATATGTATTTTTTGGTTTCAGGAAACAATAATACTAAAACACATTTCTAAATATGCTTTTTGTAATCAGATTATACATTTGTAAAACAGAAGAAAGTTGCTTTAGGCTATTTCAATTCGTTTCTTGCCTTCCAAGTGAGGATCATATTTACAAATTTTGGGCACCTTGGAAATGTGACATAAAAGCACAGTTGTGGTAGCATTTATGGAATGGGTATGAAAGGGATCATTTTAGTTTTGTAAATCTACTTTTCCAACATTGGCCATATATAAAGAAGGCCCCTTTGAGTTATGTTTCAAAGTGTTTGCTGATTCTTAGCAAGCAAAATTAACAAAACAAAACAAAGTGCAAAGACACTTAAATGTGACAAACAACTTCAGACAGGAACATTACCATGTTAGTGTTAAAAAGATTAGATTGCAGAATGAAAAATACAAGTGCCATTTTAACACTGAGCACATTAAGGCAATACTAGCCTATTTTGTCTGCTTTAGTGATTTGGCTCTGATAGAACCCAGAATCTGGGGTATTTGACTCTTCATTCAGGTTATTATTCAGATGGTATACCTCTGTAAAACTTGGGTGCTTTGCTTTCAATTTTACCCAGGTGACTCACATCCTGTCAAGATAGACCCTGTTATAATTTTCTCTGAAAATTACAGGGAGATGATTATAAACTGACATTACCAATGAAAAGAAACCATAGCACCTTGAAGCAAGAACAGAAGCACGAGAAACTGGAGAACTCCCTTACCTGTCTGGGTCTGTGTAAAGTGGACTTTCAATTAGGCATATTCATCTCTGCATTTTAGAGTCAATCTATCAACTTGACACTACATTATCTAACAGCAGTACTGTCAGAGAACAATAGGAAATATGTGAAAGCATATTAGAGTGAAAAAATTAAAAACAAACAGCAGTATGTATATAGTTAATATGTATACATATATTACATGTATACATAAAAATGTCTATATACAAATAGTAATAAATACATATTACACACACACACACACACACACACATATATATATATAATTAATCACCATATATCCCCTCATAAAGACTGGAAGGGAAGAAAGAGTGGTTTATAAGGTAAAATTCACATTCTCTAAGTCCTGGTTTCTGTAAATTTGGTGAAGCCTAGACGAATCTAAATACCCTGTAAGTTCTGTGGCAATGAATAGTGTCAAGCACACCTTCCCCTACAGGTCTGTCTAATTTTTGGAACTTGCCTAAATTTAGACTTTCCTCTTATAGAGATGAAAACAATAAAGAGAATTATCCGGACGCAGGACTGGTAGAGGAGCACGTGGCCCCCTCCTTCGAGGCGCAGCAGCATGTAGAGCAGACCGTGCTGGTGGACGGTGTGCTACGACCCAGCATGGGCAACTTCAAGTCCCGCAAGCCCAAGTCCAGCTTCAGAACTGAGAGCGGAAGGAGCCACAGGGAAAGCCAGGTACGGTTCCAGCTGCCGAGGCCTTCGCCTTCGTGAGTGCTTCTTAGGCGAGAGTACATCCTGGCAGACCCTTGGCTGGAGGTTGTACTGCCAATCTGAACCCATGGATGTTTTTGTTAGAAATTGGGTGCTAGAAATTGGACAAGTGTACCATTTAGTGCCCTTTTACTCTGGCATTCTTCATACAGGACTTGGATTTAAAGGAGCAGCTATGCTCTTTAGGGGGAAGGTAGGGAATTGGATCTATCTTCATTCCTCCAGGGTGATAATGCAGGAATCCTATTCAGCAAAAGCAGAAGTCCAAGTTAGATCTAGAACTTTGTACTTAGCCTGCAGTTTAGCAACCTTGGATAAACACTCAGGTGTGTATCTGTATGTATGTGTGTGTAGTATTTGGATTCACAGCTCAATCAGTATCTTTCCAACTACATTTTGGTAATAAATCAAAACTTTATATATATTCACATATATTATAAATTGCATATATAAAGTTTATATTATATAATATTTATATATTATAAATTGTACATAGCTTTATATATAATTTATACATGATTTATATGTATAATATATACAGTTATATATAAACTTTTTATATATAAAGTTTACATAAAGTTTATATAGTTTACTTTTATATATAATTTATACATAATTATATATAAAATTTATATACAACATAATTATATATAAAATTTATATAAAACCATATATAAAGCTTATTATTAAGCTATATATCATAAACTATATGTAAGCTATATATTATATAATATATGATATGCATTTTCTACCCAGGGTCATTTTTGCCATTATGGGATTTGAAGTGACCCACCTTTTTTCCTCAGAATACCCTCTTTCTTGTCTTCCTGTAGTTTGGTAGAGAGACATACTTGCATAGTCTTTGGTCATAATAAACACTGTGTGTGTGTGTGGTGGGGGGCTGGGAAGTTGGCTCAGTGGTAGAGTGCTTGCCTTGCATGCATGAGGCCATGAGTTTGATTCCTCAGCACCACCTAAGCAGAAAAAACCCCGGAAGTGGTGCTGTGGCTCAAGTTGTAGGGCTCTAGCCTTGAACTGAAGAGCTGAGGGACAGCACCCAGGCCCCGAGTTCTGTCCTCATGATTGACCAAAAAAAAATATAAATAAAAAATATATATATATAGCATTGAAATCCTGGACTGCAGGTAAAATTCCCAGTGGAGTTTAAGTGGCCTCCAGCTTCTGATGCAACGATCTTCATTTGTAGGTAACATCGATTTTATAATGGATTTTCCTATTAATGTTTTCTGGTTAAAATTATGGAATACATTCAAACAACCCTATTTCTATGAAAAAGAAAGGACCTTTTGTTCTAAATTCCTGAACTCTAGGAGTCAATGAGACTCAGATACTATTTTTTTTCAAATGTTTCATTTCAGTTTGCACAAGCAATGTGTATTAAACTGTCATTGTTATAGATACTTGAAATAGAGGCGGTTGCTTATATTTTCAACAAGGAGAACATGAAGACAATAAAATATCAAATAACTCCAATAAAACTTCCCTGATCAGCCATTCAGTCTTACACATTTAATCCTGTTCCTCCTGATCCAGGATTAGTGTATCATAAAGCCATCTGCTCTTTCACTAAAGTTCTACAAATCCTGACTCAGCCCACTGGTATCATCAGATCCCTGTATGTAAAGTCTGCACTTTCCTTTGAGGAAGCAATTGTTTAAAGACTTGGTCTATTATCATGGGGCTCTTGAGATTTGTCTTTGTCAAGGATACAAACACTGGCCTAAAGCTGAGTAAAATCTCAAGTAAGCAGTGAAGGAAAACAAATCTATAGATGTCAGAAACTTAAATCTGTGATTGATTTACTGCCAGTAATTTTAGAATGTGAAAGATCTTCAATTCATAATAATGTGAAACAAGTTAGTAAAATCATTTTTGTGACATGCAAAACAAGATAGTAAAATCATTCTGCCTAAGTGATCAGAATGTCTTAAAGGATAATGACTAAGCCTATTTTCAAAGAATTCTGGGAATATTGATTCTGATTTTAATAAAGATGGATGAATATAGTTTTACTGAGAGCAAAAACCTTAAAATGTAACATAATAATCCTACCAGACAATTCCAAGAACATCAAATAAAAAGATGCATTAAGTCTGGAGTACATCCTAGACATCTGTATTTTTATTAAGCTCTATGAGCAATCTGTCTCCCTTTTAGCCAGGATATAATTGGGAAAATCCATTATGCAATCAATGTTTTGCCTGCAAGGTTATATTTGAGAATGAAGCTCATTGAACCAGATAGAGCAAGCCTCTAAATTCCACTGGGGATTTTATCTTTGATGGACATTACTGATTAAAAACAAGTGGCTAATATGATGCTAGATTCAAAGGCTTTGGATGAATCAACATTTTAAACAATAACTATATTTGTCAATGATAACATTATAGTATTGTCTGATATCTAGTAAAGCTCTACCAAGATTTAGACAAATATTGGCGAATTTGATAGAACTATTTCAAAAGTTAAAAAAAATCCCCTTAAGTAGTTGTACAAAGATGTTTCAACTCAACATGTCATGTTGAATTGAAATGTAAATACAAGTTATCTTGAACACTGTCACTTTTTCATCATTCTCCTCCATCTCTCAGTTTTGGTTACAGTGTAAATAAATGTCCTGATCATTAGGTTTACTACACAGTGAGATTGAGAGAGTGATTCTGTTTATAAGGCTGGATTCGTTTGGATCTGAGCTTATGCTGCAGTTGTGAATCCTGCCTCATAATTGTCGCCGCCATAAGGTACTAGGTCCTAACTAATTTGTTATGTGCTCATCATTTCCCAAAAGCCTATGTGAAGATTCTATGGAAACAACCTTTATAGTTTAAAACCAGCCCTCTTGAATCTAAAGCATACTTTTGTAGGTGTTGAACCTTTTCTGAATTCTCTTTCCACACAAAGATTACATTCAGGACAAAGTCAAGAGTTACTCTGTACCTGAGAAAGGAATTGGATAGAAATTATTGAAAAGTTTGGCTTAATAGCTTATTTTTTTCCCCCATTATACCCACATCCAGAATTAGCTATCCATTTTCATTGGTTGAGATTCAGATATTGCTTTGAGTAACTTTTCTTTGATCTTGGCCTTGACCATGTCTCTAAAAAGGAACTACAAATAGGATAGCAAATATGAGGCCTGTGTACTTGTATGACTAATGCATTCCAGTTTTGTACTCACTTTGAATGATTTAAAAGAGGAGGATTTTAAGCATGTTTATGGCTCAAACAAAATCAGGAATCATGAAGACAATGCAAGAATATCCTCTGAGAAGTTAGACTATTTGGGATAAGGAACATGTTTATTTGAAGCAGAATCAGTTTCCCTTTCTGCTTGTTTATCCCTTTCTTCTTTAGACAATGGGCTTTGGAAAAGAATGGTTTGAATAGGGACCTTTCAAAGATCTGTCTCTCCTGAAATGGCCAGGTTTAGGGAAGCTGTTAATTAGAATTCATTGACATGTTAAACTTGAAGTTAAAACAAGATGTCTAAGTCCCTGATAAGCATAAATTCCAGGTCAAGTTCGAATCTAGTAACTATGTGACCTTTTTTAGAAGGTGTAATTAGCAAATAGTCCAAGAGAAAGAACTGAATCAAGGCATGTGTTGAGATATATTATAAAAATTAAAAGTGCCCTACATTGAGTGTCTTGCAAGTCATAATATGAATCCATGACAACCTGATTTGTGGAAGATTAGACTCAAAAGAACAAATTCCTGTATTGGATCTCATAACTGCCAAGAGGGCATTCATTTTGAGCAGTCATAGATGGAGTTTAGTCATCCTTATTCCTTGCCATTTAGCATCATGCTATGCTCCATCTTTCTGTCCTCCTGTCTGCTGGCTATTTTATCTCCTTCAAAAAGTAGGAGATTCAAGCGTTCTGCAGTGAACTGTGTACTGTGATCCTTTTGGTAAGCCATTTCCTTGGGGAGACCAGCTGTGTTGTCTGGCATACATCATATAAGGCTTCTTCCACTTGGCTCCAATAGGTATGTTAAGAGACTGGAAAGAGATCCAGATCTGATTGTGAAAATTTCATTTTTATCTTTCTGCAGAAATCAAAATCTCCAAATACTTTCAGGCAAAATAACCTATGAAGTACTATATTTTTCTATTTGGCAGGCATAATTGTTACTGTAATAGACTATAAATTAAAAAATAAAAAAAGATAATACTCAATACTGAAAGAAAGGCAATGGCCAAACACTGGGCCATTTCCCCACCCTAAAAGGCACTAAGAATCCTCTTCTGATTACTATTTTACTTTGTGTGCAATTTTTGCTTCTTTCAGTGTGTCAAGAGTGTGAATTTATTGTGCCAATAACTGGTTTAGAACATTGTTTTGACCATTCATTTATGCCATATAATTTCTCATGCACAATTTTGAAGCTGCATTATAGATGTTTTACTTTAATTTCTGTTTTGTGGTGGATTTTCTGGAAGATCTTCCTCATCAGAAAGAAAAGTGATCCTCTGCTCTGTTTTGTGAGTTTCCCTTTACTGTTCAAAAAGTAAAATGGTGGAAATTCATGAGAGTGGAGTTCTGAGACATGCAGGTTCCTTGAAAATAAAAAACACGACTCCGTGTTTGGGTTTGTTGGTTTCGGTGGTCATCAGATTCTGACATTCCTCTTTGCATTAGCAAATACCCTGTTTTTCAGTGATTATGTTGGTAAAAGTTTCTTTTTTCTTTCTTTCTTTCTTTTTTTCAAAGGATCCTAAGAATGTTTAGGAAATAATTTTATCATTTTTTCAAAATATACAAATATATTTAGCCTGCATACTGGTGTGGAAGAATCTAAAATGAAGTGAAGTGTTTCATCATTCAGTGTTCACCTACATGTAAAATCTGAGAAATGTAAAAAAATGATATTCTGGTGGAACTTGTATTTAAAACATAATAACTGACTTGAGGCATTTAAATGAACAAGTAATGGGAAAT